ACCTGCGCTCTCATTCAAACATTTTACGATTATTTCGTTGTGTTTAGTGCTTGTGGGACTGTGAAATAAGCTACCATGGGCCCAAAGAAACTTGCTAATGGTACCCCTGTGGTAAAGAAAGTGAGAAACACCATAGATGTGAAGGAGGAAATAATGCAGAAGTATGAGAGTGGTGTATGGGAAAAACAAGTCGACCATCACTTCTATCCTGGCAAAGAAAGAACAAATCAAGGAAGCTGATGTTGCAAAAGGTGTTAATATGCTAACCAAAAAAAACCACAGACAATCAATCAGGTTGAGAAGTTGTTGCTGGTGTGGATCAAGGATAAAGAGATGGCAAGTGATAGTGTTTCAGATATGATTATTTGTGAAAAGACAAGGAAGTTGCGTGCCAATTCAAAGATTAAGGAGATTTGCGCCAAGTGGAATGATGTCCAAATGTTTGTGGAGAAGTACCACCCTGAGCAAGCTGAAACAAGCCATCTTTGCAACAAGTTCAGTGACAGAACCATGTCCCATTTTAGGAAAAATCTTAAAGAGGTGCCAGAAACAGAGGACTGTGAACAGTTATTTTGTGAGACAGGGGTCCAGTGACTCTCAAGCTGGTCCTAGTGGCATTAAAAGACAGAGAAGGGAAGTAACCCCAGAGAGGGCTTTGATACCTAAAGTCCTTATGGAGGGAGATTCCCCTTCCAAACACTAACCCCAACTCCCTCTCTCCTCCTCCTCATCTTCCAGATGCCATCACCAATCTTCAATAAAGGTAAGTAAAAATGTTATTTTTATGTTTATTTAAATTTATTAATACATAATTGAACACTATATTTGCTGTGTGTAAAACTATAATTAATCACTCTAAAATGTATTTTTTTTTTTTTTTTGTGAATATTTTTGGGTTTCTGGAACGGATTAATTGTATTTCCATTACTTCTTATGGGAAAAATTGCTTTGCTTTTCAGACTTTTCTAATTTAGAACTAACTCCTAGTACAGATTAAGTTCGATATTTGAGGTTCCACTGTATTTCAGTATGCAGTACACTACTGTATAAACATTTAAAAATATACGAGAAATGTTGTAAGTGGAGCAGAGGTGACATTAAAAGAATATCAAAGATGGTTAATGCAAATCCACTACCATTGTAGTATGCTCCTCACTTAGTGACGAATTTGTTTAACAATGTGATTTTAGGAACGGAACTCTGTTGTTAAATGAAGCGAGGCTGTATATATATACCCCTCTGGATTTTCTTATTTTCTTCCTGGCTCTTATTCCATGGGGAAGTGGAACAGAATTCTTCCTCCGTGAGCCATACGTGTCGTAAGAGGCGACTAAAATGCTGGGAGCAAGGGGCTAATAACCCCTTCTCCTGTATATATATTGCTAAATTTAAAAGGAGAAACTTATTTTTCATTTTGGGCCACCCTGCCTCAGTGAGATATGGCTGGTTTGTTGAAAGAAAGATAGAAGTTATGCTTCACTGACTAAAAATCAGGCTCTAGAAATTTTTATCTAAACGCACAGAATTACAGAAAATGTAGAAGCTCTAAGAATCTTGTAGCTAAATTTATGAATCAGATACTAATCTTGTTAAATATCATGTCATTTTTCTGTGGTACTAGCAGCTGTCTTGAGCAGGTACTGTAAGATTATTTAGGGGAAAATCTATATCAGAATGCTTTTAACAGCTCGATCTGATTCTTATATACTTGGATCTGGATATGCATCTGTTAGTGGCATATCAATTTACTTTGGAATTTGGGTGAAAATGGTTCTGAAAATTCAATGTTATATATACCAGACACATTTCAAGTATCAGATGCTTCTGTCTAGCAAATTTTAAAAATATGGACTTACTTTACACCAGATTTTAACCCTTAAACTGTCAAAACAAATTTACATTCACATGCGTAATGCTCCAAAAGTAGATCTACGTTTTTTACATATTTGTGAATATAACAAAAAAGAAAAAGTAGATCAAAGTTTTTTTACACGTTTTCACATGTAAAAAAAAAAAAAGATCTACGTTTTTTACATACTTTCAAATGTTGAAAAAACGTAGATCTACATTTGGACAGTTTAAGGGTTAATTCACTGACATAATAAAATTTGCAGAATTCAGTATCTTTCTTCTTTCAATGCACCACCCATATCCCACCGAGGCAGGGTGGCCCAAAAGGAAAAACGAACGCATCGCGTTACGTTAAATCCACCATACGAAGCATTTGAACGCAAAAATTTTGCCTTGCCTCAGGATAAAAAACTCGCCTTACGTGATTCGTCCGTAACGCATCCCACGTGTGGCCTCAGCGGCAGTGTTTACAAGCCAGCCAGTGAGGTCGCATCTACGCATACATTCAGTACATTTCACATTATCCCAGTGTTTTTAGTGCTTGTAACTGCAAAATAAGTCACCATGGACCCCAAGAAAGCTTCTAGTGTCATCCCTGTGGTAAAAAGGGCGAGAATTAGTATGGAATTGAAAAAAGAGATTAAGGAAATGTGTGCAAAGTGGGTTGAACTGTAAACCTTTACGGATGAAAATCACCCTGACACAGCTACTGCAAGCCGTGTTGGCAACTTGTACGATGACAATGTTATGGCCCATTCTAGGAAAGTCTTAAAGGAATGGGAGGTACAGAGCTCTATGGACAGATTCGTTGTGCGACAGAGGTCCAGTGACTCTCAAGCTGGTCCTAGTGGCATTAAAGGAAGGGAAGTAACCCTGGAAAAGGACTTGCTACCTCAAGTCCTAATGGAAGGGGATTCCCCTTCTAAACAATAACTTCCACACTCTCCCCTCTCATCCCATCAATCATCACCAGATCTTCAATAAAGGTATGTGTCATGTATTCTATTCTTAGTAGAGTAGTAATTGTGCATGTCTTCTTCAGTTTGTGTGTATTAAAATTAATATTTCATGTGGTAAATTTTTTGTTTTCATACTTTGAGGTGTCAGGAACGGATTTATTTGATTTCCATTATTTCTTATGGGGAAAATTAATTTGGCTAACAATAATTTTGGCTTACGATGAGCTCTCAGGAACGGATTAATATCGTAAGGCAGGAGTCCACTGTATATACAGGTGAAGGGGTTGCTAGCCCCTTGCTCCTGGCATTTTAGTCTCCTCTTATTACATGCATGGTGTAAGGAGGAAGACTTCTGTTCCACTTCCCCATTGAGATAAGAGGAAATAAACAAGAACAAGAACTAGTAAGAAAATAGAAGAAAACTCAGAGGTGTGTGCATATATATACAGTGGACCCCCGAATTTCGTGATTAATCCGTTCCAGAGAGCCTGCCGAAAGTTGAAATTCCCGAAACTCGAAACCATTTTCCCCATAAGAAATAATGGAAATAAAATTAATCCGTTCCAGACACCCAAAAATATTAAAATAAAATATTTTATATACTGAAATCAATGAGAAATCAAGTACATGCTTATAAAAAATAATAATAACATTACACTTACCTTTACTGAAGACTTCTGGGTGGATGGAAGACAGGAGGAGGGGATAGGAGGAAGGTGTACACTATTGTTTGGAAGGAGAATCTCCTTCCATTAGGACTTTAGGTAGCAAGTCCTCTTCTGGGTTACTTCCCTTCTTCTTTTAATGCCACTGGGAACAACTTGAGAGTCACTGAACCCCTGTCACACAAAATATCTGTCCAGAGAGGTCTTTTTCTGGCGTTTCTTTAAGATTTCCCTGAAGTGGGACACAACACTGTCATTGTACATGTTGCAGATATGGCTTGTTTCAGCTTGGTCAGGGTGATACTTTTCAACAAAACTTTACAACTCATTCCACATTCCACACATGTCCTTAATCACTGAAGAAGGAACCTCCTTCACTCTCTTTTCCTCCTCCTCTGAAGCAAGTTCCTTGGCTGTGGTCTGATGCTGTTCCAGTTGAAGCTCCTTGTCAGTGGTTAGCTCTTCCCTGTGGTCCTCCACCAACTCTTCCATATCCCCGTCACTCACCTCCAACCCCATGGACTTGCCCAATGCCACAACACCTTCCACAACAGGCAGAGGGTCAGCAGGGACAGGGTCTGCCTCAAACCCTTCAAAATCCCTCTGGATCGTGTTTCTCACTTTATTTACCAAAGGGCTTGCACTAGCTTTCCTTGGGTCCATGATGACTTATTTAGCAGTTGCAAGCACAAAAAACAATGGATTATTATGAAATGTATGAACCCGTGGGGTGATGGTCACGTGTTGGTAAACAATGGCACACTGAGCGTGAATGGCGTGGGAGACTGGCTTGGTGTGCGCGGTGACGGGGGGATGGGTACCGGACGGTCGCCAAAACACGAGTCTAATCATGAAACTCGAGGCCAAATTTTGCCAAAAAAACTCGCCGAAGGTCGAATTTCACGAAAGTCGAGGTTGCCAAAACTCAAGGGTCCACTGTATATGCTTGTATATGCATGTGTAGTGTGACCTAAGTGTAAGCAGAAGTAGCAAGATGTACCTGAAACCTTGCATGTTTATGAGAGAAAAGAAGATACCAGCAGTCCTACCATCATTTAAAACAATTACAGGCTTTAGTTTTGCACTTACTTGGAAGGATGGTAGTACCTCTCTGGGCAGTTGCTGTCTACCAATCTACTACCTATAGAATTTAGTATGTAGTTTAATAATGCAGTAATTAAAGAAAGAGGTATCCTAATTTAGAATAGAAAATTATTATAGGGTAAGCAATGCTTACCTTAGTTCATGTAAATGCTTGCATTGATTATAAGGTAGTTGGGCTTGTGTCCCGGTTGTAGAATTATAATGCCTGCACTAAAGGATAGGTGAGGATGTGGTTCACACATGTCAGACAAAGCAACTGTTGAATAAACAGTGGTGAATGTGTTTCTTTGAGTCACTATATCTTTGTAGGAAATGGCTATTACAGTATGAAAATTATTATAAGAAATTCTTCTGTGCACAGTGCTTTAGTAATTTATTATCAAAAAACTATCTACCATCTTACTCTTTGCCTCTGTTCCAGGTATCTCATTAAATCTTACCGCGAAGCCCGTCAAGGTCAACGTTTACAACATTCAGTTTCCTACCTCACTGCACAACCTGCATCTGCCTATACCACCTCTGAACTTTCTAATGCAGGTACCTCCACCCCTTTTACTGTTTATAGTTAGGTTTATTCAGTATTATTATTTATTTTTAGTTTTATCTAGTCTTTTGGTATGTCCTCGTTTATTCTTAAGGTTCTGCTTAGGTCAGTTGGAGGGAAGGAAACCCTCAAATTCCATTCCTCCTGCATATCCCTCAGCCATTGAGATCATATGTTACAGTATTGTACTAATGCTCCAGCACAAGTTTTTGAGTTAAATTTATTTTAAAGGCAGTTTTTATAAGGCATCAGATGCTCTGTAGTAGTTGTACATTCTATATCAGGTACAATACATACATAATGTATGTAACATGCGTCTTCAACAAATGCTCAGTAGTCCTGCCCTCAAAGGACTTGTGAAGGACTTTGAAAGTTTTTTGAAGCTGTAAATTTTAAGTCTTCCTTTAATATGTGTTGCTACAACACTCTCCAGACAGTCTGAGCTAGCTGCAAAGTGATGAATTGCATTCCTAAGAGCATCTCTGGAGGAACAATTGATGCAAGAGGGAGAGATGATTTAATTGTCACAATTTCTAATATTGTGATTATTAGTACAAAAGAGCATAAACTGGGACTACCCTTATAAGGACATTTTGCTGGGGTATGACTAAAGCTCTGGCAGTGATAACACTTTGTTACCCAAAAGATGTCAGCCTTGCATCTTGTTATGCCAACAAATACATACCATCTATTCTTAACCCTTTCATTCTCAGTTCTGTTGTATCACAGCTTTGAAGCCAGTGTCAGTCCCGTACTACGAGCTCATCTCACTCAGATAAGCTGTGAGCAGTAAATTTGGGCCTAGATACAAGAGAATAGGTCTATGTGGAAAGTGTGTACCATATAAAAAAATCCTGCAGCATACAGTGAATAATGAGAAAAAAAAGAAACTGTTTTTGGTTTAAAAAAGCAACTTTGCAGTGTATTTTCATATGGCTTTTATGGTTGTGTTCTCGGTTTCTTGGTCTCATTTGAGAGAATGGAAGATATATTACAGAGATAGAGATGATTTTGATTAGTTTCAGGACTGAAAATAACTTGAAATTGAGTTCAAAGTAGAGGAAATGTTCAATTTTTACTGATATTCTAGAGTCCAATATACATCCATAGGAATGCTGTGAGATTATTTATGCAATTATAGCAATAATGCAGTAGTCTGCATAAGAGTAAATCTTCTATTTTTTTTTTTTTTGTGAATAAAAATTCATAATGAAAAGCAAGTGTAAAATAAATGGGACCTGGAGACATGACGTAGGAACAGATGAAATGTTTATTTAATGCCAGGAATGTCTACATTGTTTATTCTGGACCCTGTTTTCAAATTGGCATTTGTTGAATTTTGTACGAAATTGGCCAAATTACCGATTTCTGATCACTTTATTGGGTAGTCAGAATAGGTAAATGGGCAGTTTCTTGTACTCAGTCAGTAGAATAGAAAGAATACTAGTGGAATAGCTGTGAGTTTGGTCGACTGGAGTAATTAAATTAGCCAATAATCGAGTCCAAATTGGGTGAAATCACTGATGCGTAAATATCACCGAGACTGCTAACTTTGTGAGAACATAATTCCATAAGTTTTCCATCAAATTTCATACTTTTGGTTTCATTACCTTTGGGAAAAGATTCTCTATCATTTCATTAGATACACCTTTTTTTTTTTTATTATTAATTCTTCGACACTGAGAACAAGTTTGAGAGCAAAGGCCTTAATACAGATTGGGTTAATGATGACATTTTGGATTTCTGGAGCCATCCTCAGTACAGCCATTGTTCTACCACCCATAACCTTTGAAAGACTAAAGACATAAAGACTAAAGACATAACCTTTAATTAAATCCTTAACCCTTTCAGGGTTTCTGATGTACTAGTACGGCTTACGCACCAGGGTTTTTGACATACTAGTACCCCTAAATTCTAGCGCCCTCAAATCTAGTGAGAGAAAGCTGGTAGGCCTACATATGAAAGGATGGGTCTATGTGGTCAGTGTGCACAGTATAAAAAGAATCCTGCAGCACACAGTGCATAATGAGAAAAAAAAAACTTTGACAGTGTTTTTGGTTTAAAACAGCGACTTTGCACTGTATTTTCATATGGCATTTATGACGGTATTCTAGTTTTCCTGGTCTCATTTTATAGAATAGAAGACATATTACAGAAAATGAGACAATTTTGATTGGTTTTACAATGAAAAGTACCTTGAAATTGAGCTCAAAGTAGCAGAAATTTTTGATTTTTGCCAAAGTTCAAAAGTAAACAAATCATGCTACGCGTCCAATGCATGTCAACTGGTGAGTCTAATATTCTTCCACGTGTGCTCTGATATTATTTATACCAATTCTACACTAATGCAGTAGTCTGCATAACAGTAAATCTTCTATTTTTTGTGAGAATAAAAATTCAAAGTGGAAAGCAAAAGAATGTAGGAGCATGGGGACGTGACTAATGAACAGAGGAAATGTTATTTTAGTGCCAGGAATGTCTTCCTGTTTATTCTGGACCCTATTTGGAAATTAGCATCTTTTGAAATTTGTGTGAAATTGGCAAAATTGCTAAATTCTGACCACTTTATTGGATAGTTGAAATCGGTAAATGGATGGTTTTTTGTACTCACTCGATAGAAAAAAATGAAGTTCTAGCAAAATAGTTATGATTGTTATCGACTAGTGCACTGGAATTGGCCGAAAATAGGCCTCAAAGTGGGCAAAATCGCCGATGCGTAAACATCGTTGAGACCGCTAACTTCGCGAGAGCATAATTCCGTAAGTTTTCCATCAAATTTCATACTTTTGGTGTCATTATGATCGGGAAAAGATTCCCTATTTTTTCATAAGAAAAAATCATTATTTTTTTTTTTTTTTGAAAATTTGTCGACCCTGAGAACAAGTCTGGGAGGGCCTGTCGACCCTGAAAGGGTTAATAGTTTATGTCTAGTTCTTAAGTAACTTTTAAATAACTTGTAAGTTTTTAAGTAGTTTCCCTAAATGCATTATATAATTAGTAGCTTTCTTTTGTGCCTACTATTGTATTACTTCATGTAAACACATATGTGCATATTTTTATGGCATAAAGAAATAAAACATTATTATTTTTATCATTTTTTTTTTTAACATCGGCCATCTCCCATCAAAGTAGAGTGGCTTTTACCATCACTCACTCCATCACTGCCTTGCCAGAGCCACCCTAGTTCTACAGTTCAGTTGCCCCTCCAAACTGTGAATATCACCACCCCTTCTTCAGAGTGCAGGCTTTGTACTTACCACCTCCAGGACTCTAAATCAAGCTAACTGGTTTATCTAAATCCCTTCTTATATGTTACCTTGCTCACATTCCAACAGCACGTCGTCATAAAAACTTGCTGGATGTCCAAGCCCCTCACACACCAAGCCTCTTTTTACCCCTTCCCTTCAATCCTACCTATGGCAACCCCTACTCCGCTTTCTCATCACCTCAGATTTATACACCCTCCAAGTCATCCTATTTTTCTCCCTCTCTAAATGTCTAAACCACATCAGCAACCCTCCCTCAGCTCTCTGGATAATACTTGTAGTAACCCCAGACCTCCAAATCTCCAAATTAGAGAGAGTTCGAAGTCACCTCAAAAAAAAAAAAAAAAAATTCTTTCTTCAAAATTTATGAAGATTTTGACACCTGACTTTGTAGACGATGTTGCTTATCTGTCTAGAAATGTATAGAGAGGGTTCATGTTGTTGTACTAGGCCTAGTTGAATGTAGTGAAGCTTTTTGACTTTTTATTGAGTTATCCTAGGTTAAATTTATATAATGTACTTTATGGGTGGGGAGGACAGCATCGCTAAGTTATGATGGAAAAATGGCTGTTGTAAAAAATATATCTTTTTGTCAGATTTGGTGGAGGCCTTCAAAAAAGCAGTGTCATCCATGATATCAGAAACAGCTGCCAGACTCCAGCAGTATTGTGACATGGGAAAACCTTTTGAACATGCCTGGAATAGTTGCTCTGTGCTCTTGGTTAAATGTGCTCAGGTAATGGTTGTTTGCACTGATATTAATCGTATTCATGTTTTTCATCTGTATATTTATCCATGTTCCATCAGCTTGCACTCACAGTTGAATGAAATAGACCAAGTACAGGAGAGCCCCATTTTACAGTGCTTCACTTTACGGCGTTTCCATGATGCGGTGGTTTTCAGTTATAACCATTCTTCATTTATTCAGACTTCCTACAATAAATAGTCACCGCTCACTATAAGCTAAGGACAAAAATATTGTAGGTTAAGTAATATGTTATAGGTAATAGGTTGATAGACAGCAACCATCCAGGAAGGTACTGCCATCCTGCCAAGTGAGTGTAAAACGGAAGCCTGTAATTGTTTTACACGATGGTAGGATTGCTGGTGTCTTTTTTTTCTGTCTCATACACATGCAAGATTTGAGGTACGTCTTGCTACTTCTACTTACACTTAGGGCACACTACACATACATGTACAAGCATATATATACACACCTCACTGGGTTTTCTTCTATTTTCTTTCTAGTTCTTGTTTTTGTTTATTTCCTCTTACCTCCATGGGGAAGTAGAACAGAATTCTTCCTCCATAAGCCATGCATGTTGTAAGAAGCGACTAAAATGCCAGGAGCAAGGGACTAGTATCCCATTCTCCTGTATATATTACTAAATGTAAAAGGAGAAACTTTCGTTTTTCCTTTTGGGCCACCCCGCCTCAGTGGGATACGGCCGGTGTGTTGAAAGAAAAAGAAAAATGCAAGATTTCAGGTACATCTTGCTACTTCTACTTACACTTAAATCACACTACACATACATGTACAAGCATATATATACACACCTCTCTGGGTTTTCTTCTATTATCTTTCTAGTTCTTGTTCTTGTTTATTTCCTCTTACCTCCATGGGGAAGTGGAACAGAATTCTTCCTGCGTAAGCCATGCGTGTCGTAAGAGACAACTAAAATGCCGGGTGCAAGGAGCTAGTAACCCCTTCTCCTGTATATATGTTACTAAATGTGAAAGGAGAAACTTTTGTTTTTCCTTTTGGGCCACCCCACCTCGGTGGGATATGGCCGGTGTATTGAAAGAAGAAGAAGTAATATGTAATAAAGTTGGTAGAATTACCAACAATATGTGAAGTAAAAGGACACAAGTGCAACTAATGTGACATTTTATTGTGGCAACGTTTTGCTCTCCAGGAGCTTTATCAAGCCATTACAAACAATACATAGACACAGAGGGTATATATAGGCTCAGAGTGAGGTGCAATACTAGTGGTAGTAGTAGTAATAGTAGTAACAAAAGTTGTAGTAGTACTACAATATGGTAGAGCAATTAATTCGTACATGAGTAAAACGATATAAAAGCTATTACTTGGGTAACATAAAAATAGGTTGGACAAATATAGACTGGATAGAGGCAGCCTGTTTCAGTGTTCACTCTCTGTAATGTGCTTTGTGTAGTATAACAGGAGAGACTATGTGATGGCAGGGTTTACTGTTTTCAGGAGGATTCTTGCTAAGACTTCAGAGATGGTGAAGCTGCTGTTGTTTTGTTCAATTGTATTGGAAACAGCGATCAGTGCTGATTCGAGGCACTTGCATCTGCGGAAATTAGTTTCTTTGATCACTAATTGGGCGTCCCTGAATTTCATGAGATGATTGGTGGAATTTCGGTGTTGTACACAGGCGTTGTTCAAGTTATTGTTCCTACATGCGTAAATGTGTTCACTGAGGCGGGTGTCGAGGTTTCTTGCTGTTTCGCCTACATAAATCTTGTCACAGCCTCCACAGGGTATAGTGTAAACTCCTGCGTTGACTTGTTCGTGGTGCTTTGATTTTGTCCTGGTTAGATCCTTTATTGAAGTGCTAGAAGCAATGGCGACTCTGGTGTTAGCTTGTGAAAGAACTTTAGAAACGTTCAGTGCAACCTGGCTGTTGGGAAGAATTATAACTTTGTTATAATTCTGAGTTACAAGAATTGCAAGAAAAGAGCTCTTCAGATCATTAATTCTCCATGTACCAACACCACTCCCAACAAAGTTATAATTCTTCCCAACAGCCACGTTGCACTGAACGTTTCTAAAGTTCTTTTACAAGCTAACACCAGAGTTGCCATCGCTTCTAGCACTTCAGTAAAGGATCTAACCAGGACAAAATCAAAGCACCACGAACCAGTCAACGCAGGAGTTTACACTATACCCTGTGGAGGCTGTGACAAGATTTACGTAGGTGAAACAGCAAGAAACCTCGACACCCGCCTCAGTGAACACATTTACGCATGTAGGAACGATAACTTGAACAACACCTGTGTACAACACCGAAATTCCACCAATCATCTCATGAAATTCAGGGACGCCCAATTAGTGATCAAAGAAACTAATTTCTGCAGACGCAAGTGACTCGAATCAGCACTGATCGCTGTTTCAAATACAATTAAACAAAACAACGGCAGCTTCACCATCTCTGAAGTCTTAGCAAGAATCCTCCTGAAAACAGTAAACCCTGCCATCACATAGTCTCTCCTGTTATACTACACAAAGCACATTACAGAGAGTGAACACTGAAACAGGCTGCCTCTATCCAGTCTATATTTGTCCAACCTACTTTTATGTTACCCAAGTAATAGCTTTTATATCCTTTTACTCATGTACGAATTAATTGCTCTACCATACTGTAGTACTACTACTACTACAACTTTTGTTACTACTACTACTACCACTAGTATTGCACCTCACTCTGAGCCTATATATACCCTCTGTGTCCATGTATTGTTTGTAATGGCTTGATAAAGCTCCTGGAGAGCAAAATGTTGCCACAATAAAATGTCACATTAGTTGCACTTGTGTCCTTTTACTTCACAAGAAGTAATATGTGTAATGTATATACGTACATATTTTAGGTCTAGCTCTACTGCTCACTGAATATATTATAGTATAAACATAGAATTAATGAGGGAAAAAAGGTGAGCGGTGCGTTGAGGTATATGTGGAGTCAAAAAACGTTATCTATGGAGGCGAAGAAGGGAATGTATGAAAGTATAGTAGTACCAACACTCTTATATGGGTGTGAAGCCTGGGTTGTAAATGCTGCAGCAAGGAGGCAGTTGGAGGCAGTGGAGATGTCCTGTCTAAGGGCAATGCGTGGTGTAAATATTATGCACAAAATTCGGAGTGTGGAAATTAGGAGAAGGTGTGGAGTTAATAAAAGCATTAGTCAGAGGGCAGAAGAGGGGTTGTTGAGGTGGTTTGGTCATTTAGAGAGAATGGATCAAAGTAGAATGACATGGAAAGCATATAAATCTATAGGGGAAGGAAGGAGGGGTAGGGGTCGTCCTCGAAAGGGTTGGAAAGAGGGGGTAAAGGAGGTTTTGTGGGCGAGGGGCTTGGACTTCCAGCAAGTGTGCATGAGCGTGTTAGATAGGAGTGAATGGAGACGAATGATACTTGGGACCTGACGATCTGCTGGAGTGTGAGCAGGGTAATATTTAGTGAAGGGATTCAGGGAGTGGTTGGTGCAATTATTTAATAAATGTATGGAAGAGGGTAAGGTACCTAGGGATTGGCAGAGAGCATGCATAGTTCCTTTGTATAAAGGCAAAGGGGATAAAAGAGAGTGCAAAAATTATAGGGGGATAAGTCTGTTGAGTATACCTGGTAAAGTGTATGGTAGAGTTATAATTGAAAGAATTAAGAGTAAGATGGAAAATAGGATAGCAGATGAACAAGAAGGCTTTAGGAAAGGTAGGGGGTGTGTGGACCAGGTGTTTACAGTGAAACATATAAGTGAACAGTATTTAGATAAGGCTAAAGAGGTCTTTGTGGCATTTATGGATTTGGAAAAGGCGTATGACAGGGTGGATAGGGGGGCAATGTGGCAGATGTTGCAAGTGTATGGTGTAGGAGGTAGGTTACTGAAAGCAGTGAAGAGTTTTTACGAGGATAGTGAGGCTCAAGTTAGAGTATGTAGGAAAGAGGGAAATTTTTTCCCAGTAAAAGTAGGCCTTAGACAAGGATGTGTGATGTCACCGTGGTTGTTTAATATATTTATAGATGGGGTTGTAAGAGAAGTAAATGCGAGGGTCTTGGCAAGAGGCGTGGAGTTAAAAGATAAAGAATCACACACAAAGTGGGAGTTGTCACAGCTGCTCTTTGCTGATGACACTGTGCTCTTGGGAGATTCTGAAGAGAAGTTGCAGAGATTGATGGATGAATTTGGTAGGGTGTGCAAAAGAAGAAAATTAAAGGTGAATACAGGAAAGAGTAAGGTTATGAGGATAGCAAAAAGATTAGGTGATGAAAGATTGAATATCAGATTGGAGGGAGAGAGTATGGAGGAGGTGAACGTATTCAGATATTTGGGAGTGGACGTGTCAGCAGATGGGTCTATGAAAGATGAGGTGAATCATAGAATTGATGAGGGAAAAAGAGTGAGTGGAGACAAAGAACTTTGTCCTTGGAGGCAAAGAGGGGAATGTATGAGAGTATAGTTTTACCAACGCTCTTATATGGGTGTGAAGCATGGGTGATGAATGTTGCAGCGAGGAGAAGGCTGGAGGCAGTGGAGATGTCATGTCTGAGGGCAATGTGTGGTGTGAATATAATGCAGAGAATTCGTAGTTTGGAAGTTAGGAGGAGGTGCGGGATTACCAAAACTGTTGTCCACAGGGCTGAGGAAGGGTTGTTGAGGTGGTTCGGACATGTAGAGAGAATGGAGCGAAACAGAATGACTTCAAGAGTGTATCAGTCTGTAGTGGAAGGAAGGCGGGGTAGGGGTCGGCCTAGGAAAGGTTGGAGGGAGTGGGTAAAGGAGGTTTTATGTGCGAGGGGCTTGGACTTCCAGCAGGCATGCGTGAGCGTGTTTGATAGGAGTGAATGGAGACAAATGGTTTTTAATACTTGACGTGCTGTTGGAGTGTGAGCAAAGTAACATTTATGAAGGGATTCAGGGAAACCGGCAGGCCGGACTTGAGTCCTGGAGATGGGAAGTACAGTGCCTGCACTCTGAAGGAGGGGTGTTA